AAAACTGATGAAGGGTCTAGGCCCGAAACGTCAGCCTTCCTGCTCCTATGATGCTGCTTGGCCTGCTGTGTTCATCCAGCTCTCCACCTTGTTATCTCAGATTCTCCAGCATCTGCAGTTCCTACTATCTCTATTGTCCAGATCTTGTTGCACTTGGACATTGACTGCTTCACTGTCTGAGGGGTCATGTATGGTGCTAAACATTGTGCAATCATCAGAGAACATCCTACTTCTGACCTTATGATGGAGGGAAGATCATTGATGAAGCACCTGAAGATGGTTGAGCCTAGACACTACCCTGAGGAACTCCTTCAGAGATGTCCTGGAGCTGAGCTGACTGACCTCCAACAATCACGCCCATTTTCCTACGTGACAAGTAAGAGTCTAACCACCAGAGTGTTTGCCCCCTGATACCCATAGTTTCCATTTTGCTCCGACTGCTTGATGCCACACTAGGTCAAATGCAGCCTTGATATCAAGGGCTGTCATTCTCCCCTCACCTCTGGAAATTCAGCTCTTTTGTCCATGTTTGACCCAAGGCTGTAATGAGGTCAGGAGCTGAGTGGCTCTGGCAGAATCCACAGTGGGCGTCACTGAGCAGGCGCTGCTTGATAGCATTATTGATGACACCTTCCATCACTTCACTGATGATTGACAGTAGACTGACAGGGTAGTAATTGGCTGGGTTGGATTGTCCTGCTTTTTAATGTACAGGACACACTTGGGCAATTTTTCACATTATCGGTAGATGCCAGTGTTGTAACTGTACTGAAACAGCTTGGCTGGGGAGTGGCAAGTTCTGGAGCACAAGTCTTCAGTACTATCGCTGAAATGTTGTCAGGGCCCATAGTCTTTTTTTTCTTTATTCCTTTATTCATTCAGGGGATGAATGCGTCACTGACCAGGCAGCATTTATTGCCCAGAGGGCAGTTCAGAGTCAACCACATTGCTGTGGGTCTGGAATTAGTGAACAATGGATGCACGGCCATCGTTACACTCTTAATTCCAGATACTTATTGAATTCAAATTCCAGCATCTGCCATGGTGGGATTCGATCTGGATCCCCAAAATGTCATCTGGGTCTCTGGATTAACAGTCCAGCGATAATACCACTAGGCCATTGCCTCCCCCTTACCGGATACCTTGCAGTACCTGGAGATGGGCATTTTCCTGTATTTGAGCCAGATTTTACACTTTAAAATAATGATGCTGAGGCCTGCTGGAAACATGATACTGACTTTATAGCACATTCGCTGAGTCAAACTTTTAATGAACGTTGAAATTAATGAACGTGAAAATAATTTAGTGCATTTAAAGAATGTGTTTCCTTTCAATAATCAGGTGGGAGATGGGTCAGCAATGGCCTCGTGGTATTATTGCCAGACTATTAATCCAGAATTTCAGCTGTTATCTGGGGACCACATGGATGGTGGAATTTGAATTTTTAAAAAGTCATCTGGAAATAAGAATCTACTGATTAACCATGAAATCATTGCTGATTGTCAGAAAACCTCATCTGGCTGACTAACGTCCTTCAGGGAAGGAAATCTGCCAACCTCACCTGATCTGGCCTATGTGTACTTCCAGATGTATAGCAATTTGGTTGACTCTGAAATGGCCCTACTAAGCCACTCAGTTCATGGGTAGCCACAGATGGACAGTAAATGCTGACCAGCCAGCATTGCCCATGTCGTATGAGTGAATAAAAAAAACTTCAGTAAAACACCTAATGCTCAAACAGAGATCTTGTGTTGCATCAGCTGAAAAACAAGTACATATTAGATTTCCTTTGGTGTACTTTACCAGTGCTTTGAGTTCAAACTAAAATTAAATTCAGGAGAACTTTGTTAATAAACTTGCTTTCTTTTAAGCTGATATTGTAATAAGCATTGCACCTCCAAAGAAATGCACAATTACTCAAATAAAGTAAAAGCAAGTAACTGAGAGACAGCAATAATATGCCTCAGGATCCTGACTTCTAGGTTTCACTATAGAGGTACAGTGTCTGAAAACTGGACTTTTTTATTCCGATTGTTTTGAGTTTTCATTAAGTATTTTGTATTTTCTATTGTGATACAACTCTATGCTTTTAAATATTTTGGCCCAGGAATCTAGCCTTCTGTTTCAAGTATTTCAGTAGACCTAGAGTTATAGAAAACCTTGCTTATTGCTTTCAATTTACCTAATGTTCCTAGTCCAGTATCCTCCAGCGTTTAGTAGAATAAACTAATATTGTAAGCTGTAGTGATAAACACAATAATTCTGTGGTTCTTCAGTTATTATTCATCAAGTACATATAGTTGCGGGAAAAAAAAGCATTCATTCATCCTCTTCTTATCACTGGCCCAGCAATAGGGTTCATTGATATGAATGCTGCAGGAGGTTCTTCAACTATTCCTTCATGGTTTTACGTTTTTTTTTCTTTCAATGTCCTAAAGGCTGTAGGAAAGATGCTTGTAAGGATTACTGTCCTTCATCGCCAAGGTAAAAGGAACCTTTGAAATATGTGTCTTTCAGATGTTAAATAAGGTGACAAATGTATATACATTATAAGAAACAGAATTTCTGTGTCCAACCCTTGGAAGGTCAGTCGCCCCTATCAGATACCAGAGATCAGCCTTTTTTATAAAAGAATTTCTTCTATCCTTATGTTGTTTAATGTCAAATTATATGTAATAATTCTATAATTTAGCCTTGTTATACCTTTATGACTTTAGCCAACAGTTCCTGGAGGGTCCCCTGCTGTTTTCAGACAGAAGGGCTTGAAGAGTGTGCAGTATTTGAAGTGGCCCTGAGTTCCTTGTGAAAACATCTCAAAATATGTAGTTTAGGAACAAAAACAAAGTTGCTGGAAAAGCTCAGCAGGTCTGGCAGCATCTGTGGAGGAGAAAACAGAGTTAACGTTTCGGGTCCGGTGACCCTTCCTCAGAACGATTTACAGCATCCGCAGTTCTTTTGGTTTTCATAAAATATGTAGTTTGTCTTCTATTGATTCATCTGATTGCATTTGTGTTTATATTTGTATATTTGAGTCATTATATAACATTAAAATTTTAATCACTTTTTTATTTTTGTTTTACAGAAAGCAAAAGTGACCATGAAAGACAAGCGTGTTAATGACACTTATCCTTAGGAACTAAGAGTAGATGTGTAACATCTTTCCCTTCAACTTTTATGTTTGTACCCATGTAATGGCACATATCTCTCTTTTATGCCATTACATAGAGGAGATGTTATAACTGTCAATTTTATTGATGATGTTCAGCCATATTATTGTACGACTCTTTACATCTGTTACTTAAAGGGCATCGCATTCACTGACTGCATGCTCAATAGAGAAGCAAAATCTTCTGAAAAGTATTTCAAAGCAAACTTTGGACCTGAGGGGATGCTGGAACTTTCAGGTCTTTCATCAGTAGCTAATGAACTGGGGACTTGTTGATGAGGACAACACAATCAGTGGTTGAATTTGTTTGTTCCTTCCACTGGCAATGTGTATTTTACATCAAATATATATATCTATGTTCCAGAACAGAATTAATTTAGTCATTTGGACAGATTCTAGATTTTTGTCCAATGGATAAACATTAACAATGCATGAAAAATAGAACAATTATTTTCTTAAATAATACTTTATAACCCCTGACTTGATGTACTCAACAAGGTATGAGCATGGGCAAATTTCATGTGAAGGGATAATCAACTCAATTAAAAGTTGCAAGTATTTTTGATTTGGTTAGGATGAGCTGTGAAGGAGATTACAGGTTGCCTGTGGTAAACATTTCCTAATATTAAGGTGGAGCTTTGTCTGCTGGGGGTGGTTCTGGCACTGAAATGCACTACTGTTCAGCTTTTGCTAGGATTAATTCTAAAGCTATTATAATAAACATTTATCAAACACCTCATAGTTTTTTTTGTGTTTTTAATGTAAATTTGGTGTCTTACTGCTGTTCATAAGACAAGATATTAAATTATTTAAATGTAGGTATATAACAGCATGTCGACTTTAGATTCTATTGTGTCAGGATAACTTATATTTGTATAATGCTGTAAGTTGACAATAGTCTGTTAAAATCGCCAAGTGCAATACTGTATTTAGTATTTCTATTTGGAGTATTTCACAACTGTTAATTTATATGAAATGTACTGTAGGTTTTTTCAGATAAATAAAATTTGACTAATACTGAAGTGTTTTTGTGCAATGTTTAACCATGTTGTTCCCTGCTTAATCAATGCAAGAGTAATGTTTGACGAGAAAAAGTACAAAATATTGTGGATGATCAGGGTAATTTAGCTCAGTTGGGTGGATAGCAGAGTTACAAAGAGTTATGCTGACAGAGTGGGTTCAGTTACCACAAAGAATCCTCCTTCTGAACTTCTCCCCTCACCTGCAGCGTGGTGACCTTCAGGTTAAACCACTACCAATCATCACTGTCTAATGAGAGAGCAGCCCAAGGCCTGGTAAGACTATGGTAACCACGCCTACTGAAGATGACGCGCATCTGTAATAACTGATAAAATTCCAAATACTCATTTGACTTGAAGTGATAACTGTTTCACTCTCCATAGATGCTATCAGATCTGCTGGGCTTTTTCCGACGTATTCTACTTTTAATCAATCTTGAATAGTTTTTTTTTTCTGTTTGCAAAGTTTAAAGTCAAACCCCATTAGTTTGAATTACAGCCTTTATTTCCAAACCTACCATTTTCTTTCCCGCAATGTGAAACCTAAAATTGAAAACTCAGTGCTTAGTAAACTTGATGTCTGTATCTCCCCAGATACAAATTGAGACCTTGCCAACAATCTGCAAGCAGTAAACCCATCTTAATCAGTTGTCCTTCAGAAGAACTAGCAAGAAGCCAAACTAAAAATTTGAACTTTCAAATATAAAAGTTAATGTTAATGTTGCAATTCTCTTGAGATGCCCTAAGTGCAGTTTAGCATATTTGCAGTTGAATTTATGGCATACTTGTATCACACATTCTAATCACTGCACATTAACATGAGGTTATGGTCTATAAATTAATCAAGTCCACAGCAGTAGAATGGACTGAAACACAAATGGGCTCATTTGTCATTATTACCTGTGGTGATTAATCTGATAGTGAAATTGCTCATGTCACATGAATACGCTAGGTACAAAATCTTAAAAGAAGGATAAGCAATCCATTTTGGGACAAAAGGATGTTAGCATATTTGAAGTCCATGCTTTTGTGTTTGGGTTATCAATGGCTTTCTGTTTCAATTGTGATATGTGTCAACACTAAAACTCAAGTGTATTGTATTTTTTTTGTTCTGTCATTCGATTGTGTTTGTAGAAGCAGCTTTGTTTCAGGTTTTTAAAAATATCTAAATTACCACTTTTGTATTTTAGGTATAATTTTGAGTTTGAACACTGCATTCCCCCCTTCAGTTCTTTTGCCTTTACGTAGTGGGTGTTTCCGTATCAGTTCTGGTTTTCACACATTTACAAAAATGACTCGTGCAAATTTAACAGGGCCTCAAGCAAGCTTTCAAAACAAACTTGAAAGATACAAAAGCCATTTAGGGAGATTCACCCAAAGGTTTGGAAACAGTAGGCATTGAATAAAATTGCATTCTTTTGGCAATAACACTCTATATCATTACTTGGTTTGCAAAACTTTTCTAAACATTTAAAACATAACAGTATATTTATTTCCTGACCATGTTGACATGAGTCGCACTTACTATGTGACCAACCACATTGTTGGACACAAAAGCCTACAGTGTATAGTTTTGTATCTGTAGTCATTAGCTTATCAACTGCCTTTCTTTCCCATTTTAAAAGTCAGCACTCGACAGAGCAACAATGTGCAGTTATATTTTTTAAAGCACCAATCCTTGTATGTTTGTCAGACGTTAGTTGTACTATACACAGTGATGAGCGAATTCACTTCTATGAAATAAAAGCTACAACTCTTTGTAAGGTATGTCTCCACTAAATGGTCCCAAATGTAAGATGTGGGGTCAAAAAATTGAAGCAATAATTTTAAACATTTTATTGCCTCCCAACGGTCCACTATCCTTTTGGAATCGGGTTACGTGTATATGAAGAAATAACTCTGACTTACTTTGTCATTGCTGATTGAAAATCATGCGGTCCTGTAGAATGTCAGTAATGAAAGTGGAAATATGAGCTAATTTCATTCAGTTGTCAGTGACCAATGTTTTAGTGGTTGAGAAATGAATAGAAAATATAATTTTGCTTCACTTTCTCCTTCCAACATTTATAATTGAGGGACAATGTGGAGACTGGTAATAATGTCTGTGAAATCTGGGAGGATTTGAAGTCATTGCAATAATTGAAGAAGGAAAATATTTGGCAACTTATCTCTTCAGTGAAAATGTACTATCAACTATGTAGCATGTTCATCTTTCTGGTCAACGATTGTTATTATTTTCAAAGAGATAGTAGACTATCAGGAGACAACCAGACTGATTTTCCATTTTAACAGACCATGTAGAATGATGTAGAATTTTACAACACTTGATCCCACTAGTCTATTTCAAAATGATACAGCACTTAGAAGCAATTCAGCCCATCTTGGTTGTGCAAGCTATTTAAGTTGACAAGTGATTTATTGCCACACTCCTGTGCTTTTCCCTTTGAAGATGTATCTGATTCTGTTTGAAATGTTACCACCACTAAGATAGTTTATGTTCACCTCCGTAACATGATTCAAATTTGCCTCTGTGTTGGCCTTTGATTATCTGCTGAAATCCTCACCTGGCTTTTTCTTACCTTCAGACTTAACTATTCCAACACAGCCCAGCCAGCTTCTCTACGTCCACATTCCACAAGTTTTAGATCATTCCAAACCTCGCTGGTCATATCCTAAATCCCAGCAGTTAAATCCTATTCATCAAATTGTGTTCACTGATGGGCATTGGCTCCCACAAGAGCAGCATCTCTGTTTTAAAATCCGCATCCATGTTTTCAAAACCCTCCAGATTCCTTTTCCCTCCTCCCTGTGTCTGCAATCTCTTTCAGTTTCATAACCATATCCCTCCCATGACACATGCCCCCACTGTGCTAAGGCACCTGAACTCCCTGTGACGATACTGTCACTTTAAAAAGGTTATTCTGTCCTGGGTTTTTTTTTGAAGAGAGGTTGTAAAGGCAGAAGTAACAAAGTGGCTAGGGAGCCAGCTTGAATCAGTAGTGTTTCTTTGAAAACAGTTTAACAATGGAAGGAGGGTAGCCATTTCTCCGAGAATAAATTATTCTTAACAGATTCTCTCTGAAATCCCTCCTGCCTGTAAGAATCTGTGTTTGAATTTACCTTTTTGCCAAGGGTTGTTGGAACAGTTACTTAGTTGAGTTGCTGTATTGGGTCGGTCAAGTTTTCCAATAAAGTTATTTTAAATTCCATTTTCTTTTGTTCATGTTTCAACTAAAGTGTTTAAATTCTGTTTTGCTTAAAGCCAAGTCGTTTGATCAATTGCATCACACCTGGAACACCCACTTCACATCTACCTTTAAAATAAGGAAAGGTTAGGGTCTAGGTTGCCACCTTAAAATATTTTGAGGGGGTCTGGCCTGGTCCATAACACTCTCTCATGTTGCACATCCCCAGTTTTGGTCATTATGCCATTGGTGGTCTTGCTTCCAAGACTATGAATACCCTCCCTATTCTATCTTCTTACTTCAATTTCTTAATTCCAAACGCTCCTCAAAACCTACTTTGACCAAATGTTTTGTTCACCTGCACGAATATCTTTTCATGTAGCTCCTTCCCAAATTGTGTTAACAATTCTGTGAAGCATCTTGGATGTTATAAAGACTGGTATAAATGCATGTTGTCAACAAATCCAGTCCTTTGTGTAATATAGTTCAGATCATAAATCGGTGTAAAAATAATTCCTCAACTCTGCTCTTTCGGTTGTTAGTCATTTTCGATCACTCTGTGCTGGTTACCAACCTTGGTCCAGAAAGTCATTTTTCTTATTTACTGTATCATAATTGCTCATGACGAACAAACCTCCTTTTATTCTTCTCTGTTTTCATAGTAACAGCCCAAGTTTCTCCAGTCTCCCCCTAGAACCAAAAAGGTGTAATTTTTGTGTTATTTTGGTAGATCCATTCTGCAGCTTCACCAAAACCTTAACTTTGTGACTATGCCCTTTGGCCCTGAGAAATGACCTTTCTACATCTATCCTGTCAAGTCCCTTATGTACCTTCGTACATTTCAATAAGGTCACCTTTCATTCTTCTATATTCCAATGAGTACATGCCCAACCTCATCCAGCTCTCCTCATAAGACACTCTGCATACCTGTTATCTGCCTGGTGAACCTTGTCTGGACTGCCTCCAATGCCAATATACATTCCCTTAAGTAAGGGTCTTTAGTACTCTGTAGCTTTCCCTTCCTTCACACCTGAATAGTTTTGTCTTTCAAAGTTACCCATTGACAATGTTTATGTTCCATTTGATCCTTGTCCCATTTTAATACTTTAAACCAAACATTCCATTCTTTTCTCCCTTGTGCATTCATCTAATGTTCCCTTAAATGGATATGTTATTTGGGTTTCCCGCCCAGTGTCAGCAATAAGAGACCTGATGGATATTCATAGAGCATCATTCACTTGCCATCAAATAACTGCTGTTGCATTTGGATCAATAACCAGACAAGGAATAGAACCACAGGAGAGCTGAGGCAATATTTTAAAGCAGTCTGTTGTTATGATGTAGAACGTGCTGTCTGTAAAGGTAGTCACAACAAATTCAATAAAACTTTAAAAAAGGCATTAGATGTATGCTTGGAGAGGAAACATTTACAGGACTGTGGGGAAAATATGAGAGAGTATTGAATAGCTCTAAGAGCCAGCACAAGCATGAGAGGACAAATGGCCTCCTTTGTGCTGTGTGATTTTATGAAAATACTTGGTCTTGTTTTTAAATTCTTCCAGGGCATTGCTCCAGTGTTCTTCTGAACTCCTGCCAATCCATCATTGAAGTTTACATAATGTATCCTTCCAACTATGGTCTATTATATGGTTTCAACAGTCTGACGACCCATTCATTCCCACAGCCCCTCCACCCCCAACTCCCATAATACGATGCTTAATTTGCGCATCATGACATTTGATGATAACCCCTTTACCAGAATTCCTTGAACACTAT